CTACCCATACTTCTGTCCTGGTCTCAATGATGATGGAAATAACTCAGCCCCTCTAATTATATCTCGGGTCAATCACACTAAATAGACCAATCAGTTAAAAATTCTACAAAAAGCTTCAGTATTACACAACATATAAAGTCATGGGTTTGATGATCTCATACTCGGCTTTACAAAATTTATTCAAATGTCCTGTGACTTGTGTTGAAAGTCTTCCTCTTTCCGAGCCAAAAGAGGAAGATTCTTGTTGATGATTCTACACATGTAGAATGTGTCACTTTTTAATTAAAGTATTATAACTTCATGCCGTGATTTGTGACTTTATATATGGCTGCTCAAATTATTCAAACCAGAACAACAGAGTCCAAGTCATCTTTTTACAACTGGAACAGCTTTTATATGGAGATACATATCCTTCTTACTGTATATTTGCACTATTTGATTTCTTTTTTTTTCTTTTAGGGTTTAGGCATGTGAAACACGTTATGAGAAATATAGAGAAAGAGAAATAATAAAAGCTAAAAAAAAGTAAATTGGCCTCATAGCAAAAATGTGTCTATAAAAACAGACATTTCTAATTGAATGACTATCTCTAAATATCTGATTTGGCTAAGGACAGAGAGCTTGCAGGGGAGGCAGTGGCAGACTGAGCTAAAATGTTTAGTCTGATATTACCAAATATCATTCACCTTATATTTTTGTATTGACTAAACATATTAATGTATACCTTTGGATTATTAGCTGGAAAGCTAAGCTGGCCTAATACTATACAACAAAATAAAGTTAATGGCAGGGACGATGGTCTGGGTTTTCTGTTTGATATTTAAAATGATTTTTATTTTTTTTATTTGATGGTGGTAGGTTTTGCTTTGTTTTTTAATTTTGTAGCCTGCTATACTGCAAAAGAAGTACTAAAAAGCTGAGTTTGTGTTCAATATAATTTCATCTTTGACCATTAATATCTATAATAAAAAAAACAGCTTTGTTGCTCATGGTTTTGTTTGCTTTATTACAGGATCAAAGTACATGAAAGTTTTTTTGTAATACAAATGATCAAATAAGCCATTTGCTGTCTACTTTATACAGTGTGTATGTGTGTGTGTATGATTCTCCTTTAACTTTAATATAAAGTCAAATGTTGCTCTAAAAGAACAAGAAATAACATATGATCTTCCACCTATAAACTTTAAAATAATACCTTTTTTAAGACAGCTTCTGTGCTGAATTCAGTTTTAGTTTACATAATTTTTAAAAATCCTGCCTGTGATTATTAACCAGGGATCCAATATAACCTACAACACATAAACTGTTTCTGCCTACAGTTGCAAAATAATGTCAAGACAGGATATGTTGAAAATACCATAAAGTATGAAGGAATGTAACTCACCAAAAAACACTGAGGGAAAATTTTGGTTGCATTGAACTTGACTGGTGCTGAAGCCTAGTTACTGCAGTGCCAACAAAACAGTTGTTGCTATTTTGGTTACACCAAACAGGTTCCTCATTTGCTGGCCATCAGAAAACCATTTGACCCAATATAACCGGTGTGATGTTCCAGCTTTCCAAAACTAATGGTAATCTATATTAGGATGTACATTGTCTGTTAGAGATTAGTGGACAGAGGTGTCAAAAGTAGTTTTCCCCTGAAATTAGACCCTCAAGCAGCCTTTCCTTTCCACATATGTATAACAACAAGCTTATAAAAACAAGCTATACCAATAAAATCTTATCTGGTGTTGGGTTAGGTCCACTGGGGTTGAAACTGCGCCAAATCACCAAAAGAGGCAGGACTAATATGCAGTCTGACAGGAAACTCTGCCTGCAAGTGAGTTCTTACTGATATAAGGCACAATAAGGAAATACAAGGCTGAAATGAAATTCCCCCAATAAAAACCGAAAGTTTCTCAGAGTGACAGTAGAACTGAAGTCGAGATGAGTCTCTCAGTTTCTCTCTAAAAGAACATTTCAGTTCATCAGGCCTTCCTCCAAAACAAAGAGGTGAC